GGTGCTGTCTCCACCCGGCAGCATTGGTCCGGACTGCAGGCAGAGGCGTGAGGTCCCTCTGGGCCCCGGCAGCAGCTCCTGCTGGGTCTGCGGCGCTGGGGGACACGGTGGGTTTTGGTCACGGCCAGGCTGGAGGCAGAGGAGAGCCAGAGCTGGTGTTACCCCCTTCGGTGCTGCACAGAAAGCAGTGGGTCCCCCCCTTCCCCTCCCAAGGGGTGTCCCCACCTGGGAGCACCCCAGCCAGGAGATAGCTGCCCAGGTGAATTTTCCATATGTGACTCCCAGCCGAAGCAGGGGGGAACATTTCCAGCACACTGCGAGAGCACAGGGTGCTGCGAGCGTATCACCGGTGCTCACCTTACAGGTTGGCGTCGTACGCTGCGTTGGTGAAGATGCCTGGTGATCCTAGGTCACTGGAAAACAGACACAAGGGTGTCACCTTGGGGGAGAGGGCAGGAGTGTGAAGGGCGTGGGTTAGCACAGCGCCGTCAGCCCTAAAGATACTCCCACTCGTATAAAAGCAGCCTCGTACAGGCAGGTCTGGGTGACATGGGGTGACCGCAGGGCTGTGACGGGCACAGGGCAGCGCATGGCTCTCACCTGGTGGGGTTCAGGAGCTTCTTCTTCTCCTCTGATAATGGTGTTGAAATGTCCACGGGGATAGAGCAGAAATAAGAAAAGAAATAAGCAGATCTGTTTAATGAAGGATGTGAGAAGCCGCAGCAGCAGCGTCTGAAATTGAACCGAGTTTGACAAGCATGGGATGTAGTGGGGAGGAGGGGCTGAAGCATTTGCCTTCTTCCCCTTTGCAATGAAGGTGTTTTTATGGCTCTGCCCTCCAAACCTGGCTGCTGACACTTTCAACTGGACAAACTGCCAAGGACCCAAGCAACTTGCAGCAGATAAGACACATGGACTGAGGCAGTCACGCTGTTAAACTCTTCTGATCATCCCACCCTCCCCAGGGGCTCTGTAACCCCTGGCCAAAGCGATGGTGGGCTGCGGGAGGCGTTTCTGTACCTCTGTCGCTGAGCCGCTTGGCAAGGAGGGCAATGAGTATCCCCGAGAGCACAACGCCGGCTACTGCCAGAGCCGTGCCGCTGCTGTAAGCCAGGACTTGCTTTAAGAAGGGGGCACCATCCTCTGAAACAGATCCACAGACCCACATGTTAGAAAGTTGTCAGAAGGACTTCACAGCACCCAAGCTGCTGGGGTGCCCCCCACCACGTTCAAGATGTGCTGCAGGAAGCTGGACCCCCCCCCGCCCCAGTGCTAGAGGAGCCCACCACCATACCTGCACAGACAGGGGGATGCCTGGTCCAGTTCCCCGTGGCTGCACACAGGAGCACCTCTGCTCCCATCCGAACAAACCCCTCCTCGCAGGAAAAGGTGCACGTGGAGTTGTATGTGAAGTTCCCGTGCACGTGAGAGCAGCTCAGCTGGCCTCTGCTGGGGGAGTCCAGCACCGGGCAGCTGATGGCTGGAGATAAAGCACAGCAGTAGCATTAACAGACAGGAGCGATGGTGGTGGGATGGTGACGTGTGGGCTGGGGATCCAAGGGGATGAGCTGCCATGGACCGGGGATGCTAAGGGGAAGGGGGTGCTGGGGAAAGCAGTCTGCTACAACAGAGCACTTCCAGACACGCATGTGATCACGAGATCTACCTTTGCATTGCGGGGTGTCCCCAGTCCAGGTCCCCGTGGCCGTGCACTCGCGGCTCTCCGACCCCATCAGCACAAACCCCATCTGGCAGGAGAAGGCACATGTGGAGCCAAAGGCAAAGTCCCCATGGAGGTGGGAGCAGGCAGCCTCGCCCATCTTGGGGGTGACCAGTGCTGAGCATTTGATGACTGCAGGGGTAAAGAGGCACACTTCAAAAAGGAGCCTGGGAGACTACACTGTTGGGACCAAGAGACTGGGGAACCTCCTAGTGTCACCCCAAGGCCAATGACACCCTGAGCCCTAGCAGCATCTCTACCTTCACAGCGTGGGGCATCCCCAGTCCATGTCCCTGTGGCCGTGCACTCGCGGCTCTCTGACCCCCTCAGTGCAAAACCCGTCTGGCAGGAGAAGGCACATTTGGAGCCGAAGGCAAAGTCCCCGTGGAGGTGGGAGCAGTTCAGCTCTCCTCGGTCTGGAGCACTGAGCACTGGGCAGGTGATGGCTGCAGGGTAAAGAAGCACACTTCAAGCAGGAGCCTGGGGACTATGAGGCTAAACGGTTAGGATGAGAGGACCAAGACACCCAAGCACATCCCAGGGTCATCCCAAGGCCTGTGACACCTTGAGCAGCAACGGTACCTTCACATTGTGGGGCACCCCCAGTCCAGGTCCCCATGGCTGTGCACTCACGGCTCTCCAGCCCCATCAGTGCAAACCCCATCTGGCAGGAGAAGGCACATGTGGAGCCAAAGGTGAAGTCCCCGTGGAGATGGGAGCAGTTCAGTTCTCCCCGGTCTGGAGCACTGAGCACCGGGCAGGCGACAGCTGCAGGGTAAATAGGCACATTTCAAGTACAAGCCTGTGGACTACAAGGCTAAACTGTTGGAATGAGGGGGCCGAGACACCAGAGAACATCCCATGGTCACCCCAAGGCCTGTGACACATCGAGCAGCAATTCTACCTTTGCATCGTGGGGCATCCCCTGTCCAGGTCCCTGTGGCCGTACACTCACGGCTCTCCAGTCCTGTCAGCACAAACCCCGTCTGGCAGGAGAAGGCACATGTGGAGCCGAAGGCAAAGTCCCCGTGGAGGTGGGAGCAGTTCAGCTCTCCTCGGTCTGGAGCGCTGAGCACTGGGCAGGTGATGGCTGCAGAGGTAGAGACACACTCCAAGCAGGAGCCTGGGGACTGTGAGGCTAAACTGCTGGGACCAAGAGGCTGGGGAGACACTAGGATGTTCCCCAATATCAGTGACACCCTGAGCTGTAGCAGCATCTCTACCTTCACAGCGTGGGGCATCCCCCGTCCATGTCCCCGTGGCCGTGCACTCGCGGCTCTCTGGCCCCCTCAGTGCAAACCCCGTCTGGCAGGAGAAGGCACATGTGGCGCCGAAGGCAAAGTCTCCATGGAGGTGGGAGCAGTTCAGCTCTCCTCGGGCTGGAGCACTGAGCACCGGGCAGGCGATGGCTGCAGGGATAGAGATACACTTCAAACAGGAGCCGGGGGACTGGGAGACTAAACTGCTGGGACTAAGAGGCTGGGGAACATCCTAGTGTCACCCCAAGGCCAATGACACCCTGAGCCCTAGCAGCATCTCTACCTTCACAGCGTGGGGCATCCCCCGTCCATGTCCCCGTGGCCGTGCACTCGCGGCTCTCCGACCCCATCAGTGCAAACCCCGTCTGGCAGGAGAAGGCACATGTGGAGCCGAAGGCAAAGTCCCCGTGGAGGTGGGAGCAGTTCAGCTCTCCTCGGTCTGGAGCACTGAGCACCGGGCAGGCGATGGCTGCAGTGGGAGAACAGGTCTCAGAGACAGGATAGATGAGGTTTAATCTAGGGATTAGGGCTGAATCCCAGTCAAATAAAACCAAATCTATGGTGATATGTCTTTGATTTACCTTTCTCACGCAGACAAGTCTCACCTCTTCAAAACCAGTAGTAATGTAGTTGGTACAATGATTTTTCTGCCATACGAGTGATTTCCTTGGAGGGGCTCTGCCGGAGCCCTGTTTATCCCCTGCACTACCTCGGGTTTCAGCCCCGGGATGAAGGACCACGGCTGCTGCAGTCCTACTTGCCTCCCTCCCTGGAGGGGAGCAGAGACCTGCCTCCATCCTTGTCACAGCAGCAGGGCGAAGGACACCCAGATGGCTGTGAGGCTGTAGGGGACCAGGAGGGCCTGACTGAAATAGCTATAGAGGTTGCGTGCCAGCCTCCCCAGGCTGTGCTTTGCTGCGTGCCGGGACAGCACCCAACATTTGCTGGGGCGAGCGGCTCCGCTGCCTGCAGGACCACCGCAGGTTAGTGCCAGGAGGACATCTAACACCGCCCGGGTGAGACAGACCCCATTCCCTGCACCTTCTGCTTTCAAACTGACACCAAACACTTTCCTTGGTAGACTTTTCCTTTCATAGCTATTTTACAGGCAAGCCTGGTTTCCCACAGAATCTCCGGAGCTGTCTATCAGGGCCCCAAAACCCAGCGCTGAGGCATCCCCCAGCAGGCAGCCCGGGCTCTACCTTCGCAGCGCGGCGGGGGCCCCAGACCTCCGCACTCCCGTCGGCTCAAACCCCTCCTGGCAGGAGAAGGCACATGTGGAGTTGAAGGCGAACGTGCCGTGTGGGTGGGAGCAATCGACCCGGCCCCTTTCGGGGGCAGCCAGCTGGGGGCACGCGACGGCTGCAGGCAGACACAGGACAGGCGCGTGAGGGCAGGGCAGGCAGCCTCGTCCCTCGCGGTGCCCGCAGCACCGTCAGCCTCGCCGCAGCAGGAGCCTCTCTCGTTTTTGGAGTAAACCCAACTGGCAATGCTTGCTAACGCAGCTTCGTTATCAGCAAGGGCGACCGACTGACTCATCTGATTCTTTGTGAAAAAGAAAAATTAATCATACGTACAGCCAGCAGGAAAAAACAATGAGCTGGGAAAGCAAGCCTTTGGAGACTTGAAAAGCCTGGAGCGGGCAGGCTCAGCCCAGCTTGCCTGGGGGGACTTCCACAAAATTGGGAGCCAGCTCCTGACCCTGCCGCTGCTGGGGACGCTGGCCACGGGACAGTCACATCACGTCTCCGTGCCCGTTCCCCTTAACTGCAGAAAGCTTTGCTGGTCTCAGCCGCCTAAAACAAGTCCCGGGTTGGACCACAGGCCCACCTAGCACTAACTTCAAGGAAGGCTGGGTTTTTTTAAATATATATACAGAGACCCTGCCCACCCCCTGACCCGTCCTGCTGGGTCCCCTGATACAGAGGGTCCCCAGTTGTGTCCCGTGTCTGCTCCAGTCTTCAACTCGTCCCATCCTTGTGCAAGGCTGCAGATCCACCACGCAGCGGCACAGGGAAGATGGAGCAGGGTTCTCACACACCCCCAAAAAAGCCCAGCACCTCTCTGGTGCGCCCAGCGCCTGGCTGCAAACCCTCGAGCCGTTGACGGGAAGACTTTCCCTGCCCCTGCAGCGTAACGTACCACAGCTTTCTCTCCTTTGCGGCTTTCCGCCCCCGCCTCTGTCCCTCCCAGCTTATATCTAACCTCATCTCACCGGTCCTCACCCCACTCACGGCGGCCCCGCCCTGCCCGGATACACCCTTTCCCCAGCTGCGGGACGGCAGCCCCCCTTCGCTCTTCTCTGAGGACCCCCGAGATGCCGAGCACCTTCCCAGGTTGGATCAGGGTGGGCTTAGGGAGGAGCAGACGGTGCCACCAGGGTGATGGAGGTGCCAAGACACTGTCCCGCCTCCGCACATGGTGCACGCAGGGTGCTGGCGCCTGGGTGTGATTCAGGACAGGGAGCAAGAGATGGGGACAGCTGGGGAGAGCAGGGGGCTTATCCAGAGCTCACAGCCGCTCTGCCCATCGCAGCCTCATCAGGGAACCGCTCCCTGCATGCAGCACCAGGAGCTGCTTCCCCAAAGGGCAGGGGTATGGCAAGTCCAGCCCATTGCTTGCCTGAGCAATGTTGGGCATGCAGGGCTGGCCCCCCCAAAGCATCAGTGCCACATCCCTGAGATCCCCAGCCCCTGGCAGTCCCTACCTGTGCAGGTGGGGGTCTCTGCTGACCACTGCTGGGAAGGCAGGCACCGCAGCGTGCTTGCCCCTCGCCGCTCGAACCCCTCCTGGCACTCAAACGCACAGGTGGAGTTGTAGCTGAAGTCTCCGAAGGGATGGCTGCAGTTCATGCGCGCTCCCTTGGGCTCGAGCTTGGCGCACTGCACGACTGGGAGAGACACAGAGCCGCCAGCCCGTTAGGAGCATAACGAACTTGCCTGCTTTGCCACCAGGCTCAGGCTCTCCAGCAGGGAGGGAGGGATGGGGATGGATGGCTCACCGTCCTCGCACTCAGGGCCGTGAAAGCCGGGATAGCACTTGCAGCGGTAGCTCTTGATGGTCTCCACACACTCGCCGCGCTGGCTGCACGGGAAGGGCTGGCAGGAGGCTGCGCACACAGAGGATGGTCATCAGCAACCACCGGCCACCCTGCCGAGATCCCCAGCCCACCCGATCTGGGTCCGTGCCGCAGTCCCCCCGCTCACCCTGGTAGCACAGTGCCCTTTTCCTCCGGTTGCAGGGCTCATCGTTCCACTTGCCCGACTCTCGCTGCCGCTTGATGTAGATCTCCACGCAGTCCTGGTTGGAGCGGCGGTTGTTGGGCTCCCCGGCTGCCCAGTTCTCCGCCTCCTTCGTCAGCGCCTTCCTGGTGCCCACCCAGGTCCAGGTGCCACCCAGCTTGCGGATGCCAATCCAGTAGTAGCGCCCGTGGAAGGGCACGCTCTCGTTGAGGTGCTCGATCTCCCGCTTGTTCTGGATCGCCACCAGGTCAGTGAAGAAGGTCTGGCAGTAGTTCCTGGCCTGCTCCCACGTGTAGTCCCCTTGGTCACTGTAGTTGTACGTCCAGGCACCCACCTCCACCCACGTCACCGCACCTGCGAGAGAGGATGAGGTCCGGGATTGACGCAGAAAGGATGGGAGCCAGGTCAGGGATGGGGTCCCTTGGGACATGAGGGTGAGCTGGGGCTGGCATCAGGGCCAAGAGGTGCCAGCAACCAGCTGGGCGAGGGGACGGGACAAAGGGACAAGTGTGGGTATGGGACCTGGGTGGATCAGGCTTGGCAGAAGGAGCTGCATCCAGAGGGGGATGGCACAGGGATGAGGAAGGTGGGGGAGACAGGGTGAAGGCTGAGACAGAGGGCAGCATGGGATGGGGCGGGCAGAGCGCAGGTGGCCGAAGAGCCCCAAGCGGTGATGCCAACCCCTCCTCCAGCACAAGGGGTGAAAGCCCAGCCCCACAGCCCCGCTTCCCTGCTCACAAAGGTTTCCCAAAGGGGAAAACCCGACATTGAGATGGTTCCTTAAACACGGTTCCTTCCTCGAGTGCAGAAGTGTACCACTTCGGTTTTCTTGCTTTACGGTTCTACATGAGAGTCAGCTTGGAGCAAGGCAGAGCAACGAGCATGCCCTCACCCCCAAAAGCATTTGGATCCCAAGCTGCTCATCTGAGCCAGAGATGGTCTGAAGAGTCTTGTAAAATTCAGTATTGCAAAACAACGTCTTGCAAAAGTCAAGTTCACATCCTGGTCATGCCCACCAGGCAGGGCAAAGCCAGAGATTAACTGGAACCCACACCCAGAAGTGAAGGGCTTTGCTGAAACCCTATTATTTACAGCATTTCACACCACAACTTGATGCAATCAAAGGGTTTTAGCCACAAAAAAAAAGCTTCCTCCCCCCTCCCCAGAAGCAGGTATCTCCTGCAGAGATATCTCACTGCAGAAAGTGATACGGGGATCATATCTCCATCTGTGCAAAAAGTAAGATGGGGATCAAACTTTGCTCCAAACAACCGGCCTGTGTCTCAGGAGAGTGTATCATACTGTGGTCACGCAGGCAAAGGTCTGAGCATCGCAGATTAGATGCAAATCTAGGGCTTCCCAAGTCTAATTATGGCTCTAGTTTGGTCAATAATTTCTAAGCAAAATTCCCATAATTTGTCTGTTTTTCCTTGTGAAAGAGCAAACTATTCACTTTGCTCAACAAAGCTGAAGCTGAAGAAAACATGGCCTTCAACAACAGCCCTCCTCTTCCCCCCTTGGGAGTTTGGGGCTGCAGGACAGAAGCTCAGGGCACCTCCTGGGATCCTGCCCCATCCTCAGCTCCCACCACCCGCCTCCTGACCCTCACTACCTCCCCAGCACAGCTCGGGGCAGCCGCCCCACTACCCTTGCACACCCCATTCCCAAACCAAGAAGGACCAAGGGAGCCCACCCGCTGTGTGCCCATCCTCCATGCGCTCTCCTGCTCCAGCTCCGCCAGTAACACCCCCTCTGTAGCACAGCTCATCCCCACTCCTTCCCCTCAGCCTTATGTTACCTCTCCCTGCCCCACCTGGAGCTGAACCCCCAGGTGGGTGCTGTTTGCCTGCGTTTTGACCCCTCGGCTCCCCTGGCAGCCCCCGACGCCTCCCCCCAGGGCGGTGCTCAGCACCCGCCGCACTCGGGGTGCATTTGCATTTTTGTTTTCCCCTCAGAGCTAAATCTCAGCCTCCTCCTGACACTTCTGCATTTGCCTCTGTTCCTTAACTCAATCATGAAAGGTCGTTTGGAAAATAACTCAGCTCATGGAGGATCTCTTAGGGACAGAGCAGGCACTGGCAGGTTTTGCTCCCTGCAATGCCAACATGTGAAGGAAATATCCTACAGGCAGCAAAACCAAATTAGTTTCTACTCTGATTTCTTCTCCTAATGTCAACTAGCAGCTTTAACTCTGTGTGGTGCTGCCCCAGCTGTGCTCCCAACCCTCGCACCTCTGGGTCCCGTGGCTATACCTGTGCCCAGCTCCGCAGCATGGGCATGGGCGTAGGCAGGGGGTAGAGCTGCTGCTGCCTTTCTCCAGTTCGTGGTACAATGCACCGGCTGCCATGCTGCATTTGGGGAATGAGACACCCTGTGGGGACCCCATGTGTGGCCTGGCCCTCCCCGGGGGAGCACGGTCCTGCGACAGGTCTGGCTGGAGGAAGCTGGCCCGGGCAGACGCAGCCCCCTCCCAGCCCAGAAGGATCCAGCCCTGGGGCTGGCAGCCGTGTGGGGTGTGACTGATGAGCCCCCAAAATAACATTGCTGCCTTTCTCCAGTTTCCCGGACCTGCAGGCTCCTCAGCAGCAAGGTCATGCTGGGCTTACCGAGCGGGCGGCGGGTGGCT